TAATAACAAAGTTGGTGTACAAGTGACTTTCTGTTGCCTAAGACACCTACCTGATTGCTATAGCAAGTGATAAAAAAGAAATAGAGATAATTCATTTATGTTTATTTTTCAGTACAGAATGATACATACCTCTGTATTTGGAGCAGAGTTAGCTGAAAATGTTACTTCTGAGTCTGGTAATGAAAAAAAAGGAAAACGTCTTTTAATCCAATGGAATATATATGCAGTGCTTGCTTTTAGCTTCACTGAGTAATAGTTACCTGTACATACGCAGTTTCTTTTGTGCATCTTGTACATTGAGAAAGCCAGCAAAACAACCAGGATGGTGGTGAATGCCAAAGCACCGCTCAAGAAATACACCAAGACCCCAGAGGCCACACCAGCTGCAGAAAATCAGAGATGCTTCACATTAGATAAAAGAGAGTTTTAGTTTTTTTCACAGGTTTATGACCATTTGACAGTTGAAATTGTAATTGGATGTTGTAAATTTTGCTCCAACTGCCCCCAAAGATATTTCTTCCTTTTGAGCGAAAGCAAAAGCCACAGTCCTCACGCTGTGCAAAGAGGCATTTTAAGGTTTATTTGAAGCTAATGAGGATTCAACAGTCTAGTAAAGTCAAATCAAGTGGGTAACTTCTATGAACGATATGCAAATAGAATATGCTAGTTGAAAGTGGCCAATGGTGATCCTTCTTAGAAATGATAGTGGAGAAAACCCCTGTTTAATTGGTCTAATACCTATCTAGCACTTTTCTATGCATTGCAGCACACTCAAAGCACTTTCACACTATTTGGCCATTCGCCTATTCACACTCCCAAGCACCCACACACATCACGGGGAGCAACTCGATGTTCAATGTTTTGCTCAAGGACACTTCAACATGTGAAGTGGTGAAGCCAGGATCAAACCACCAACCTTCAGTTTAGGAGACGATCTGCTTTACCTCCTGAGCCACAGCTGCCCATTTATTTATTAACATTGTGGTTATTTTTTTTATGAAAGCAGACATAACAGGTCAAGACAGGTTTGTTGCTGCAACAAAACACTGAATGATGAATACCAGCTTGGTCAGGCTGAAGCCTTAGATTAGCATTGGCTGAACTCTGAAATGCAGTAAACCCTGTGTTCTCCATCACAGGTCCCAGTGTGGACTGTACAGTTCAGAGTCACAGAGCCTCCTGGCTGGATGGTCTCAGATGCCGACTGGTGGACCACAGCTTGGACGTTCACACCCGAACCCTCTACACTGACAGTAGTGCCCTCACAGAATTCATAGGTATACAAATTGCTCATCGCACAGTAGTAAGTAGCTGAATCTGAAACAAGCAGATCTGATATCTTCAGGTAATTTGTATGCCTTCCGATGTCCAGTGTGAAACGTGGATTGTTTTTAAATTCATCATAAAAGTTTCCACTATTATTACTATGCTTATAAAATGTTAATACTAGCTTTGGTTTTTCGCCCAGAGTTTGCTTATACCAGTAAAACATAACTGTTATGTGATCTTGACAGAGGCATGGCAAAGTCACACTTCCCCCAACATTAGCTGATTCAAAATGTGATGACTGTTTTAAAGTTGTCATATGAGCTGAGGAGAAAACAGAGACATAGCAATTACACAGTGTAATGCTAGTACAGTATGTTGTAATGATCTGCACTACAAACTGTAAGAAAACATGTCACAGCTTAAACTAAAACTGACAACAAACATAAACAAAACACAACTCACCCATATTCACAGTGAACAGACATGAGAAATACAAAGCAAAGTTTGGAGGACTCATTGTGCTTCAGATGCTGTGAGGAATGAGATGGTCTCTGTACGTTGTCTGCTCTTCACAGAGAAGACTGTGTTTGACTGGCCAATCAGATTGTGTCTCCTATTTTGAAAACAGTGAACACAGGTTCAGTGCCCCCTACCTCGGCAACTCTGACCCTTGATTGGAGTTTTGTTAACAAGAACAACATAATGTTTAGCTTTAGTAGAAGAATCACTAAACTACACAAATCACATACGCTATCACACAGTGAAGCCAATAAACACTAGCAACAGGGCTTAGGAAATATTAAGTATTTGTGACTAATTCACTTGGAAGTGCCAACTAATAGTTACTATAACTGCTTAGGACATGATAGCTGTTATATAAGCAGAGCCACACAACTTTGGAAAGACTCCTTTCCAATTTCAAATAGATAAGTAGAAACTTTAAGCAGGTTTATCTGGAGTTAAGGATGTGAATGGCTTTTTTCCACAATAGTAGTCCAAGTACCATGGAAGTCGCCTCTGGTGCAAAGTCACATGGAACTTGAAATAGACAACTGAGCTCTGCTAACCAGTTTAGTAACTTACATCAAACTTCAAGCTATATTACACACATTGGATTCTACTGTACATGCACAGTGTGTGGGATGTGCCACATTGGTTTGCAACACATAACATCTGCACCATCATTGACTAAGCTCAGAAATGTATATAAAGGCATGTAATGTTCATCCTGAAGTGTTGCATTAACATGCTGCAGTGGTCGCCACAGCGGACTGGGTTTGGGGGAAACCTTAGACCATGTTTGATGCAAGATTTGTTAACAGATCACTGATAATGGTGTATGCAGCACTTCTAATTTTCATGTGTGTGAACTCACAGAGGCAGCCCTTTATGTCCTGCTACCCTTTATGTCCTGCTACCTGAGCCTAGAAACAAGATAAGTTTCATTAATTGGGCAACTAAAACAGTGTAATGTGTTGGTCATTGTGGTCATTAGGGAAAACTTCAGGGTGAGAAGACCATGCAGTGAGATGGAACTCTGCTCTCTTCCTACCCACTGCATAAATGTAGTGTTAACCATTCAGTCTGGTCCTGAGGAGGGCTTACATTTCCCTTTACTGGGCACAGCGTGTTGTCTGCACTTGATGCTCATTTTGCACTGCAGCCTTTTTAAGATGGCTTCTCTGTGCTCTTGGCTTCTGTCGGAGCCGTCTTCCTGTGTTCAAGTTTTAACTTAAGTTTCCACCAGTGGAAACCTATTCACAGTAGCTCACACCATTTTCACCACATGGGTCAAAACAAAAGACAGATGCTTATGTTTCTGGTTAAACAAAGGTATTAATAGATCAGAGGGGATTTTTGAGCATGCTCACTCTACGATTGCATCCAGTTCTACATTAGAGTTCTTGTGGTGAATTCTTTTTGCACACACATATTTTACTTCACAGGATGACTTTGTCATTGAGCCTGTTTTTTTCTTAACAAACTGTCGTTTGCAGTTGTTGTAAGTTTTGACTTTTCAGTCTCATCTTTTGTGAAGCTCCACTGGGAGAATGACAGGGTAAAAATCAACTCTCTTTTTT